TGGTTTATAGCTTTCTTTTCTTAATGACCCAACAAGCTCCCCTAAAAGGTAGCTAGCTCTTCTTGTCAATCGTCAATGGGAGCTTGGCTTCAGCTTTAACTTTCAAATTCTTCACAGCTTCAGGATAAACATATGAATCTTCAATGAATGACTTCATATTGAGCGGTTGGGCTTTCTTTAGAATTTGGCTTTGAACGCATGTCGGGTGAGGAGGCTTGATGTACTGATTCTTGAAAGATAGCGCTTTCAGCTTGAAAATCTTCAGAGAGAACATAAGAGAGAACAATTCTTCTGGATCACTTCAGCAGGTACAACAATAGCAACAGACTGATTGAGGAGGCTTCAATGCAATCCGTCACATAATCTTCAAGTCAACTTGACCTTTCTTCTGGGGTTGAAGGATTGAATGTTGAAAGAATAATCTTCATTTCTTGCTCCTTCGAATGCGAATTCTTCGATGCTCACAGACGAGGCTTTGGCTCATAAATCTTCAACACAAACTCCATGAGTCTTATCTATACCTGAAATCACTTTTCAAGACAAAACAAAACTAAAAGAAAAATTAGTACACAAATTAAAACAGAAACAAAAATATTTTTGGATTTTTTTTCTATTTTTTTTTAATTTTTTTAATTTTTTTTTTAATTCTCCCCTAATATTTAAATTAGAAGAAACTATGACAAATTTAACAAAAACAAAAATAATATCTAACTTTAAGAGTGATTTGGGATCAAAGTTTTTAGACAGCCTTTATCCACTTGTCGGTACCTTTCATATTCACATCTTTGTCTGGTCGATCGTCGGTATTGTTGTTCACTTAAACACAAAAAATTGTGACAAATTTAGGACATACTATTTGTTACAAGACAAGGTGAACTTAAGTTCCTAGTAATTATATCTGATCCTAATTCCTTAAATACTATATCTTAAGGACCATTCATCTGACGACGACCAGGGATACTGTAGTCCACCTAAATTGAGCAGCGAGATCTACAGACAATCTGTATGTGTTCAAATTTAAGTGTACTAGAACGTGTTTCCCGCTTCCTGATATGCCCCAGTCATCAAGAACTTCCAGAGTACTCCTTACACCGGGTGAGCAGACAACCATTCAGGGAGAGAAGAGATTCATAATTCTATAACTTATTACTTCAGAGAGGTTGAGAAGAAGAAGGTTGCATATGCTGTGTACCAGATCGAATTCGAGGTCACACAAAGGAGACAACATATGGCTAACAGATAGGAGGAATTTCATATATGTAACATGTAGAGAAATAGAGTTGCATATGTTTCAATCCAGGTCGGATCTCTTCCAATCACGCAAAGGGTGCAACATATGACTAACAGACGGAAAGAAAGAAAATGATATTCTACAGACCTAATTTATCAGAATTTACCAGTCGCCCCATCCAACCGGAATTAAGGATAGAATCCGCCCATCTAGGAAAAGTTAAACCACGGTTCCAAGTACGGGTTCAATTAATGTGATGGGTAGATTCCCATATATATCTCCCTGTTCAACTTATCCGAGCGTCGTATTGTCAGGCTGAACGTATCTAACTAGGTCAAGATTTGTCAAGTCTATAAATTTCCTAAGTTCAACTCTGCCTAGTCACGTCTATTTAAAAATTTTCGTGCCTACCGACGCATCAAACCAGAGCATAGACCCTTCAACTTCGGGTACATTACGCAGACTCAGGTTGCCTATTATCACTTGATAATATCACTTCCCAAAACATCTCCCTCAAGCACATTTCATAACCAACATATTTTTTTAATTTTCTGATTTTCTAATGTTTTTGGATTTTTGAAAATTTTCTAATTTTTGTTTTGTTTTTATTTCTCCCCTAAATTTGTGCATAGGAGAGAAACGAAAGTAAATGCGTAAATTTAAACTATCCTAAAACAAAAATTTGCCTTTAAAGCGAATCAGCTTAAGAAAAACTCTGTAGTATAGAGAAGAAAACGCAAACCGTAAGTCACCGATTGAATTTGCATCCAGAAGGTCTGAGAACAACACGCGTAATCTCATAACAGATCCGAAAATTCTTTACGTCATTAAGAACTAACCCCATGAGTGATTTCTTCCTTTCTTCCCTTCCCGCAAAGGACACATACTGTCAAATAATGTTCTGAGTGTTGTACAATTAAGAGATGTCCCCAATCATATGCCAGGAGCAGCCATTACCAACAAACCGAAGTCTGATGATATGCCTTCATAGCTGCTCTGACACAGAGCGGGATTAGTTGGTCTTTGAAACCCAGTCAATTTTGACGTTGGGCCGACGTTTGTCATCAACGCACGATACTCTCTCCCATGACATATCCTGCTTATCACAAACAGAAGATGTGGAAACGTTAGAAGCATTAGGAGATTTGGGAGTTTTCACCTTTGGTACCCATCTATATTCAGGTTTAACCCATTTCTTGTTCGATCCGATGGGTTCCTCGGCACTTGCTTTGGAACTTGAAGCTGATCTTCGAGATGACTTTAACCTAACCAGTCTTGGCTTCACTGGAGCATCTCTTGGACTGGGCTTCTTGGCAGGCATTTCCTTCTTGCCATTGGGATTCAGATTCTTTGCCTTGTGGGTTAGATTCTTGGCCTTCTGCGCGTTCCAATCGCTATTGTCTGAACGTGAACTTAAGGGGTTTCTTTTGAAGTATCTCCCTCTTAGTGCATTCTGCCAGCCTTGTGCATAGTAGGGAACATATGCACGATTAGGACAATTTCTGGCAATGTGTCCAAGTGTTCCACAGTGAAAACAAGTTTTTTTCTTCACTATGAAGTTATCTCTTCCTGCCCCTGGTGGCGTATCCTTGCCTTGTCTCTTGTTGTTCCCATATGCACAGTTGTAACAGGCACCCTGTTTAGCTTGAAATGGTGGCATGTATTTACCAACGGCATGTTGATTAGAAGCAACATTAGTATCTTCAATATTAATAACTCCTCCTAACACAAATCCAGCTCGTTTTCCATATTGAAGATGTGGCTCCCTGTCAGTTTCGTCCTGTGTCATAGGGATGGATGTGTAGTTATGATTATAAGGAGGAGGTACACTATCATACCCTAGACCCTTGTTTTGATTTTCTTTGAATTTTAATTGGGTTTCATATAAGGACTCGACTGTCTGACTTGACGCTGTATAATTTTTGAAACTAATATCAGTTTTCCACACTTAATTTTTAAAGCATCAAGTTCTTCTGTTACAGCAGCAAGTTGTCCCTTAACATAATCATAATTTTCACACTTGTTGCAATACTCTTCCTAAAGTTTCCTAAAGTCCTTGGTTTTTGCTTCTAACTCAGCCTTCAGGGGTTTCTATCGTTTCCTAAGTTGATATCCTTCATATCTCAGGTCCTCAACTTCTCTTTTAAATAAATCAATTTGTTCCCGAAGAAATTTAATCGTGGCTTCACAAGCTGGAGTACATGTAACTTCAGTGACCGGAATATTTTCAGAACTCATTGTTTCTCTACACTTTAAAGCATCAAGTTCTTCAATTACTTCAGCAAGACTAAGATGATTGAGATCTTTTGTCTTCTTGATGATGGCCACGTTCATATCCCACGATTTCGGAAGTGAATTTAGCAGCTTTTTGTTTATCTCGGACTTAGTCAAGAAGATCCCGACTATATTCATCTCAGTAGTGAGTGCAGTGAATCGCTGCAACTGAGCTTCAAGGGTTTCTCCAGGGATATAATTGAAAATATTGAAATTTCTCTTAACGTATCCTGACGACTCTCTTTCATGTTTTCAACTCCATCGTAGACCTTAAAATCAATTAAAAAAACACAACTATAAGCTAAGATAAAACTTAAACGTCAAATTTAAAATGCTTTTTTTTATTTATTTTTTATTTTTTTGTTTTTTAAATCAACCTTAAAAGTCAACTTTAAAAGTCAGAACGAAAAGTTAAATTTGAGATTTTAAAAGTTAAACGAAAAAATCAAAGATCAAACCTGAAAGTCAAAATCAAAATATTAAATAAAAAAATAAAATAAATAAAAGTTAAAAATAATTATATATTTTTTTTATATTGAAAATGAGGTTTTATAAATAAAAGAAATTGATTTTGGGCAAAAAATGTAAAATTTGCGAAACTAGGAAGCGGCAAGGAGTGGTTAAGTTTAAAATATGGGAGGGAAGGAATAAAGGATCTGTTGGTGGAGTTGGCAAGGTGCCTAGACTATGAACTGGAGGTCCTGGGTTCGATCCCCGGCAACCTCAAATCGTGTGGAATTTTTTTTAAATGCGAAGCACTGATGCGTTAATGCTGCTGACCGAGAAGGCTTCTGAACCGGCGACCGCACACTCCGACGATCGTGAACTGTTTCCGGCAGTAAGCTCCGGCCGAAAACCCTTCAACGATTTCGTGAAAAACAGCGATTTTTCGACTTTGAAGCTCCAAAACTCGATCAAAAACCCTTTTTTTATGAAAAACACAAAGAACAAACCCCCCTTATTTTTGCGAGATCTATCCAAAAACGCATGTATATTATGAAAATAAGATCAAATAATGCCCCAAATCTGACAAAATTGACTGATACAACTTGGCTCTGATACCAATTGTAAGTCCCTAAAAATCTGTCCGTGTATCAATCAGATCCGTTTGATGGTGCGGAATCCCAATCAAATGGATGATATCAGATCAAATAGAAGAGAAGGAGAAGAAGAATATGATGAATCTTGAATGTATTGATAATATGAATTAAATTTCTTACACAAGATTCACACACACAAACGTTCCTTTCTCTCTCTATGGCCGTCAACTCTCTAGCGTTCATCAATGTATTCCTCACACCCTAATACCTATATTTATACTAGGGGAACATGGGCCGGATAACACATGGGTCGTAAATGAGTTTACGACTGTAAGGTGTTT